AAGAGTGGCGTATAGGCCAGGGCTGAGCCCCCCTGGTGCAGCAACAGCAGGCTGGCTAAGGCCCCAGTGCTGGCAGGATGGTGTCAGGTTTCTAGTCTTGACCTAGCCCACCCCTGAGGAGTGGAGCATTCCTGCCTGGGAGTCTGGGGTGGGGGTGGGGGAGCCAGAGCCCAAAGCCTTTGGCAGTCAACCTGTAGTACCCTCTGGGGAACTCAGGGCTCGAGGTGTGGCTTTGTGACTCTGTCCTCCAGGAGCCTGACAGGTGGGTGACAGGCAGGAGCTCAACACCAGACTCATGGTTAGGGCTTCCCTCGGTGAGGTTGCACTTGCCAGGCCTGAAGAGGGTGATTGCACCCCGACGGTGGCTGAGGCAATTTGCAGCGTTCTGGATCTGCCCGCTTCTCCTGCGGAGCTGGCTTTTACGTAAGCTTTCGCATCCAGGGGGGATTTCCTACAGCCTCAGGCGGGAGTCTGAGACTCAAGTGACAGCCGATTCAGGGCAACTTGGCTGAAGCAAAGACATTCTGTGGCTCCCAAACAGGAAAACTTCCAACGCGGGGCAGAATCGGGTCTTGAACTCCAAAAGCGATACCTGGCCACTGTCTTGCCCATGGCCCCACTCTGTGTCCCTGGGTGCTGCGTTCGTGGCCAGGCCCTTGGTGGCGACACTCCTGCAAACTCTGGGAGAGTAACCCAGTGACCGTCTGAGGAGGCAGAGGCAGGCGGATCTCTGCGAGTTCTAGGCCAGCCTGGTCTACAAGAGCTAGTTCCGGGACAGGCACCAAAGCTACAGAGAAACCCTGTCTCGAAAAAAAAAAAAAAAAACCCAAAGATACCTTCTCATTGGACCTGACTGGTCACGTGCTAATCTGACCCAGTAACTGTGGGCAAGGGAAGGCTCTGCTGCTGGAGAGTTTGGCCAGGCGAACTTGGCCAAGAGTAATTGGGATGCCATCCCGGAAGCGGAAGTGTACAGACCACGACAACTCTCGGCCTGCACCTTCTGCAGGAGGGCGTTTGGGGCCAAAGAGGACATGGTAAAGACCTTTGATTGCTCCAATGCAGCTTCTCCAACCACTTAGAATGGAGATCACTCCAGTATGATCCCCAAAATGGTGCCAGGGGCGCTGCTTCCAGTGGAATGGAGCTACATCAGCCTCCACAGCCTTTCTTAGTGTCCAGGGTGGAGACCCTTTTGGAAAAAGAAAGCCTGGTTGGAGAGACTTGTTTCTGGGGAGATCCTCCTTCTTAAACTCACAAGCTCCAGAGTATAACATTTGGTGATAATGAAGCGCCCCTCCCCCAATCCCTCTTTTCTTGCCTTCCTGAAGCCAGCGATGGCGTTGCTTCCCATTACCAGGAAAAGCCTGATGCCAGCCTGCCGAACCAGCTCATAAGACCTGGAGTAGGACCCTGGCACGAGCTACCAGGGCCTCCCGTGGCTGCTTCTGGGGTCCAGCCGAGTTAGGTCCAACTCCCTTTTCTTTTTGAAGTCTGTCTCCCTGTTGGTGGAACCATTTCTGGAGGGAACAGGGGATCGGGGAGTGGTGGCTGGTGGTGCTGGCCTATTGCCAGCGCCTGGGAGCAGGAGACTGGAGGGTTAGCATTTCAAAGCCAGCTTCAGCTAGGGAGTCCAGACCAGCCCTGGATACATGAGACCCTGGTTCAGCCCACCCCAGCCCCTAAAGGGATCAAGGTGTTCCCCGTACAGGTCCTCTGGAACTGGGACACTGACTCTGGCCTGGCCCTGGCACTCATATTCTGCTGGAGACCACCAACCAGCCAGGCAAGAGGTGCCTGGTGGGAAATCTCCCTTCCCGAAGTTACAGTCAGCCAAGACTGAAACTGGCTGTGTGGGACTTGAGGGGTTCCTGTTTTGAAAAGCACGAGGGTGGCGGTCTTGAGCACAGTGGGTCCCTGGGGACAGACGCTGTAGACACCACTGGCCATCATGCACATGGATGCGAGTGTATCACACACACCGAGGTTTTCAGGCCCGGCCTGGAATGCAAGCAGTAGCAGGAGACTCACATTGTCTCTCCAGGTCCTTCTCAGTCAGACTTGGGGTTCTGGTCCTGACCAACACCTTCAGAGTCTTTTGCTGTGGTATGGTCCCCACTTTGGTGGCCTCAGCTCTGGATGTGTTGGCGAACGGCTCTGGCTGCCATAGGCAGTGCTGTACAAGATCCTGGAACACAATGAGATTCTCCAGTGGTGGTGGTGGTGGTGGTGATGGTGTAACTCCTGGCACCGGAGCAAGTGGATCCCAATTGTGACATGACAACTTGGCTTTTGTCATTCCAGGAGCCAGAGGGACCAGCACCCCTGACATGTGGGCTGCCCCAGCCATACAGGACAAAAGGCTATCTTCCTCTGGGTGCCTGGGAGGCAAAGCCTATAGAATGTTAGCACCTGACTGTTAAGTGTGAAGTAATTGCACAGGAGCTGCTGGGTTCTCTTCTCTGCATGCTTGCTCCTCGAGGGCTAGGAAGCAGCCATGGGACCTGACAGAGAAGCAAGGCATGAATTAGCCTGCAAAGGCCTTTTCTGTCAGTCGCCAGGGCCTGGGGTGAGGGCTGTTGCAGGCAGACCTCTGCCTGACCCTGTCCCTTGAGTCACCCCAATAAAGGTGTCAAGAGGTCCCTTGGGATCCAGATGGCAACTGTGCAGGCAAAACTTTCCTTTTTCCTGTATTATTGTTTCTCAGAGGCCACCCATTCTGGCCAGGGCAGACTGGGTCTTCACAGACCTCTGTCCCAAGGTGCTGGCCTCTCTTCTGCAGATGGGCTTCTAGTTCTTACCCTTGCCCTCCAGGTTCCCCTACAAAGCTTCCATCTGTGCTAGACACCTGGAATTCCACTTAGAGGTCCGAATGCTCACACATGTGCCGTGTCATGAGACAGGGTCTTACTGGGTAGCTCTGGCTGACCTGGAACTCACTGTGTAGACCAGCCTGGCTCCAAACTTATAGACACCTGCCTGCCTGCAGTAGGCCTTTGTGCTGTAACTAAAGGTGTGCACCTTTGCATCTGACTGATGCTTCATTTTCTTTATGAGTGTTTTGCCTGTAATTCTGTGCATCATGCACTTGCTTGGTGTCCATGGAGGCCAAAAAATGTCATCAGATCCCTTGGGACTAGAGTAGCAGACAGTTATGAGCCTCCATATGGGCAGGGAATCGAACCCAAAGCTTCTGGAGGAGTAGCCAGTGCTCCTAACCGCTCAGCCACCTCTCCAGGCTGTGTGTACATTCTTCTTTTTCCTTTCTGTGTATGGGTGTTTTGCTTACATGTATGTCTGTGCACTATGTGAGTGCCTGGTGCCAGAGGTCAGAAAAGGGCACTGGTGGTGCAACCTTTAACCCCAGCACTCGGAAGGCAGAGATAGGCAGATCTTTGTGAGTTCAAGACCAGACTGGTCTATAGAGCTAGTTCTAGAACAGGCTCCAAAAAAGCTACAGAGAAACCCCGTTTTGAAAAACAAAACAAAACAAAAAAACATGCAGGAAGCTGGAGAGATGGCTCAGAGGTTAAGAGCACTGATTGCTCTTCCAGAAGACCTGGGTTCAATTCCTAGCACCCACATGTATAGCTCACAACACCACCCCTACCAGACATACATATAGGCAAAACATCAATGTACATAAGATACAAAATTAATTTTAAAAAAATGCACATGCAGGTCAAGTGGTGGCACACAACTTTAACCCCAGCACTCAGGAGACAGAGGCAGCATATCTATAAGTTCGAGGCTAGCCTGGTCTACAAAGGCAGAAAGATCTCTGTGAGTTCAAGGCCACCCTAGATTACACAAAATTGATCCAGTCTCAAAGAGAATCAGAGCTCACACAAAGATGATCCCAGCACTTGGGATCCCGTGCCTTTAATCTCAGGTCTAGGGAAGTGGGGACAGGAGTGAGATGACTGAGTGGAGAGAGGAATATTATAAGGTGGGAGGAGACAGTAGCTCAGTGCAGTCTGAGGACAGGATCGACCTTTCAGTCTGATCATTGGTAGAGAAAAGAACTCTAGTGGCTGGCTGCTCTGCTTCTCTGATCTTTCAGGTTTTGCCACTAATATGTGACTGAGTTTTTATTATTAAGAACAATTAGAATTCGTGATACACTTTGGTTTTTAATTATACTGTTCTGTTCCTGTTCCTATTGTTTTGGAGATAGGTTCTTATTCTGTAGACCAGGCTGACCTAGAACTCACAGAGATCAACCTGCCTATTCCTCCTGAGAGCTGGGATTAAAGACACGTGCCAACCATGCAGGGCCTAAATTGTAGTGTAAATGTTGGGAGCTGGAAAGTTGGCCCAGCTGTTTTTTTATCTTTTTATTTATTCATGTATTTTATGTGTTTGAGTGCTTGATCTTCATGCACACCAGAAGAATGAATTTAACTCCTTTACAGATGGTTGTGAGCCACCATGTGGTTGCTGGGAATTGAACTCAGGACCTCTGGAAGAGCAGGCAATGCTCTTAACCGCTGAGCCATCTCTCCAGCCCTCAGCTGTTGTTCTTGCATGCAGAGGATGTGGGTTCCATTTCCAGAATTTACATGATTGTTCACAACTATCTGTAACTTCTTTCGGGAGACCCTACACCCTCTTCTGACCTCTGTGGGCACCAGACACACTCATGATGCACAGATATACATGCAGGCAAAACACTCATAAACATAAAATCAGATTTAACCCCCCCTCCTTTTATAGACAAGGGTTCTCTCTGTAGGTATGGCTGTCCCAGAACTTGCTCTATAGACTAGGCTGGCCTTGAACTCAAGAGACGTGCCTGCTTCTGCCTCCCAAGTGCTGGGATTAAAGGTATGCACCACCACTGAGTGGCTAAATATTTTTAAAGGCAATAAATAAACTTGAAATAGTGCTGATTTTGGCTATCGGGAGCCTCGCATATGGGACTCTTGAGTTTGAGATCAGTTTGGTCTATACATTAAGATTTAGGCCAGTTAGGGCTACACAGTGAGTCTATTTCAAAATAAATAAATAAACGAAAGGTTATTGGGAGGAGAGATGGTTTAGCAGTTAGGTGTTTCCACTTGCCACTGCTCTTACAGAGACCTTAGTTTGATTCCCAGCACCCATGTCCTGTAGCTCCCAGCTGTTCCAATGCTGTGTTGTACAGACTTTTCCTGGGGAGACCCAATACACATCTACTCACCCCAGAAAGGGAGCCCTCCACAGACCAAAGGAACAGTTCCACCAATGCCTGATTGTTGAACCAATGACTTTTATTGGGGGTAATAGGGTTACTTACAGGAGCAGAAATGACACAGACAGCCACATCACCAAGGTCCACCCCAGCACAGGTGACAGCTCATGATGAGGGGAACCTGGAGCACACTGCACAGCCCACAGGCAGTGCCACAAGTTGCAGAGTGTCCTTTCCAGGTGCCTCAGTTGGTCTGATCATCCTTTCAGGTAGGTGGGCTGGTCTCAAGAATTTTCACTGTAGCTTGGCTGGTCGGAGAATGACTCTCAGCAGTCTTTATTGCTTGCTTCTGGGAGGGACCGCCTACTGAATCTGGTCAGTTTCAGGTACTTCCTAAAGCTATTGAGCCGTTTGTCTACTGCACAAAATGGTCCAATCTGGGAAGAAACTGCTACACATCACACTTGACATAGTTTTAAAAAATAAACCTTTAACTTTCATTTACTATTATATTGTGTGTGCATGTGTGCCATAGCTTGAGTAGAAAGCGAAGAGGAGCACGTGTGTGTCAATACTCTCCTACCACAGAGGCTCTGGAGAGCGAACTTAGATGGTCAGGACTGGTGGCAAACACTGTTACCTGCTTGAGTCATCTCTCTGACCCCAACAAAATGTTAATCATATTCAACACTAATGTTAGAAAGGTTTAACTGAATATGTAAACAGCATTTTACATAAAAAATTAGAAAAATGGACAAAGGATCTAAGCAGGCATTCCACAGAAGTACAGACACTAATTAAGGGACTTGACCATAGTGACTCTAAGAAGCCTCTCCGTTTTGATCCTTTATTCCTCGGTGTGTGGGTGTACACGTGCCATGGAGCATGTGTGGTGGTTGGAGGACAAACCCTGGGTGTGAGCCCTCACCTTCTGCCTTGTCTAAAACAGGGGCTTTCATTGCTGCCGTTTGCTAGGGTATGTGGGCCATGAACTGGATTCTCCGGCTTCCACTTCCCCTCTCACTTAGGAGCCCTAGGTTTATGATGTTCTCACTCTACCCATGGAGCCATCCTCTTAGTCGTCCTAGTTTTCTGAAAAAAAATTTTTTTTTAGGTTGGGTTTCACTATGTAGCTCTAGCTGGCCTGGAACTCATGTAGTCCTGACTGACTTGAACTCAGAGATCTGCCTGCCTGCTTGAAATCACTGATGGACCAGGAAAGCTCAGTGGTTGGGCATTTGCCTCTAACTTCTGTCAATAGCTTTTAGGTTGAGATGATTAAATTGCCTGATGGCCTTGCTGATGAATTTTGGTCAGTCACATCCTGTTCCCTGAAGATGGACACCATTTATTTATTTATTTATTTATTTGATTTTTCAAGACAGGGTTCCTCTGTGTAACAGTCCTAGCTGTCTTGGAACTAGCTCTTGTAGACCAGGCTGTCCTTGAACTCATAGCGAGCAGCCTTCCTCTGTGCTGAGTGTTGGGATTAAAGGCGTGTAACACTACCACCCGGATGGACACCATTCTTGTGGACAACTGGCAGTATCTGTCAGAATGAGGACTGTGTGGAATTCCACCTCTAGGAACCCAGCTCACAGACGTTACAAAGAAATGCCAGTTGAGCATGGTTACTCCTACCTGATCCCAGCTACTTGAGGGGCGGAGGCAGGAAGATTTTGATTTTAAAGCCAGCTACATAGTGAACTCCAGGCCAGACCTGGCTGCACAGTAAGACCTTAAAACAGGAACAAAAGACAGCCTGGGCTACACAGTGCAACTGTCTCAGTAAAGCCAAAGGTAGTGGAAGAGCACTTGACTAGTCTGTTCTGTTCAAGGCTCTGGATTTATCTTTAAAATTCAAGCATCATAATAAAAAGATTATCCACTGTGCATTAAATAGCAAAAGCAAGACAGAACCCAAATGTTTTTTTCTGAGACAGCTTCATGTAGGCCTGGTTGGCCTCAGACTTACTATATAGCAAAGAATGGCCTTGGGATATCTCACCCTTCTTCCTCCTCTTGACTGCCAGGATGATATCCAGTTCACTTGGTGCTGGGGATGAAACAGAGCTTCCTGCATTCCTAGAAAGTGCCCTACCGACTGAGCCACATCCCAAGTGTTCCCCAAGGGGAATGTTTCTGTCCTGGTCCACAGGGTTGGGTGCTACAGAGTGGAGAAGATAGATCAGGAGTTCCTTATGGGCTGACACAAAAATATTTCCAAGATATGAAAAGGCAATATATAGGCAAACTGAGCAAGCATAGGAAAGAGATGCTCTCAGGATAAAACTCAGTAGTTCTGTTCTGTGGAGTTCTTTTCATTACTTTCTCCTTCCCTTTTTGATATTTTGCTGTGTTTTCCTATTCAAAAACTAATTTCACTCACCTAATCAAAAGTTCCTATTCAAAGATATCTGCCTGCAGATCAGTGGTGGAACAAGTCTTTAATCTTAGCACTTGGGAGGCAGAGGCGGGCAGATCTCTGTCAGTACAAAGTCAGCCTGCTCTATAGAGGGAGTTCCAGGACAGCCAGGGCAACACAGATAAACCACATCCCACGTCTAAAAAAAAAAAAACAAAAGAATCTGCCAACAACCCTCAGCCCCACCAGGATAGCCCATATAACATGGGTATCTACAGGGCTGGGGAGATGGCTCAGCAGCTGAATGCTTGTTCTTCCAGAGGACAAGGGTCCCTTCCCAGCACCCACACGGGGCAACTCACAACTACCTCTAACTCCAGCTCCAGGATATCTGAGACTCTAGTGACTTGATTTCTGTGGGCACCTGCACAGGGGGCACCTTCATATTAAGAAACAGAGTATCTACAAACCAGGTACGTGGCAGTTATTAAGCATGCATATGTGGGTGCTGGGAATTGAACTCTGGTCCTCTGGAAGAGCAGCAAGCACTTTTACAGTGCTGAGCCATCTCTAAAGCCCTATGTGGGTTTGGAAGGACAACTGTCCAGATCCTTCAGTCTTCCTGCACCTGCCTGGCCCCAGTGGGTGCAGGATTTGGCATCCTTACCACTAAGGTGCTTACTCCAAGAAAACCGGTGAAGAGACACTTGGGCAGTCTCTGGTGTGGAATCTGCATACACGCACTCTCCAATTCTAGCTGTTGGCACTCTGGCTGGGACCTGTCTGTCCTGGCACTTGTTGCACGCCAACACAGTGTGGAGGGACCCAGAGCAGCCATAAGGATGTGCCCCCTGAGCATGTGCTGCTCAGGAGACCTACTTCCAGCTGGCAAGGGACTACAGAAGATGGAAGACTATAGAGTATAGCATCCCCATCATCTCTTATATCTTTGATGCTCACATGGAGCTGGCTCAAACTTGTTTCTGATTTATATCGATAGATTCCACCTCAGCCCCAGGGTAGGGACCTAACAAATGGCAGTCATGATGTTCTGTCCACTGTGTTTAGTGCTAGTGGCTCTTGGCTTCTAGACTAACTCATTCCACCAGGCAATGAGTCAATTCAGATATTTTGTTCAATACTTGCCCCTTCTTAGGATAGTGCTGGAGATGCACCTAACAAACAGGTATCTGCCTAGAATGAAGGCAGGGCACTTAAGACCCTGAGCTGTTGTTGATGGCAGTCCCCCTGACAGTCAACTGCTGTCTCCTTGAGCATGAGCTGAGCTAGTTCCCGGTAGGGAGGGTCCTGGGTATCTCAGAGATCTAGGGGTCAGAAAGATGGCTGTGGGTAAAGGCACTTGCTGAGTAAGCCTAGTGACCTGAGTTTGATCCCTGGAGTCCAGGAAAAGAACTGACACCGGTCATCCTCTGACCTCAAGTATGTCAATGAGGTAACCTGAGTCACCACTGCTAAGGAAGCCAACTTAATAGGAAAAGGGCTGGAGCATTAGAGCCCTTCACCTTGCAATTCGTCTCTAGTGCCACCTACCACACCAGAGTTCAACTGCTAAGTAGAATCAAGGAGAAAAACTTCAAATGGGACTATAAGCCCTAGACCCTACTTTGATTTTCCTTTATACCATTTTTTTCCCCTCAAATGAGATGAAGTCTGGGTATCCTTGGGCTTCAACTTAAGAGACCTACCTCTACCTTCTCTGTGCTCAGAGGCAGTACACGCTGGGGAGATGGCACAAGCATAGTACTTGCCTAGCATGCAGAAATGCTGGGTTCCATCTCCAGAATCACACAAATCTGTATGGTGGTTGGTGCATGTTTGTCATCTAGCATTTGGGAAGTGCAGGCAAAGGATCAGAAGTTGAATATCATCTTCAGTTACAAAGCAAGGTAAAGGCCAGGATGCAGTGTTAAGACCTTGTCTCTTTCCTAAAAAAGGCGTGGATATTAGGGACAACTGAGGAGCTTGTCTTCCATGACTGAACCCTAGGGTTTAGTCCTTGTCCCCAAACCAGAAAAGGGGTGTGGTTTCAAACAGGAGGCAGGAAGTTCAGTCAGAGGATTTAGACACACCTTTCCAGTCCCAGCCAGGGAAACCTTTCTAAGTCAACAGATCTTCAGGCAAACCCAAGGCTGCAGGGTGTGGCTGAGATCAGGAGCCTTGGGGATTTGTGGGTTGTTTTCCCTTGTCTGAACCTTGCCATCAGGCCCTGGCCTGGACTCCCCTCCAAGGAGTATTATTCTCTTTTTGTCAAGAGGAGCAGAGTGGGATAGCCTTTTGGGGGGGGGGGTGCTCCCCAGACTTCCAGCTTTTAGGACTCCACCCCACCCCTGCTCACTACTGGAGGCAGTCAGGGTGGACCTTCTCCAGAAACTGACAAGGGGTGCCAGCCTGCAGCTGGATGTGCAGCCAGAACAGCAGGCACATCTTGGAGACTGCCCCAAGGACACAGCTGTCACACTGGGCTTAGCAGCCAGAACACTGGAAATGTCCTTTTATTTCCAGCTACTTTATTAGCTCCCAAAAGGAAACCAGTCTACTGGGGCATACATTTTTTTCCCTCCTAAGACCTAAGGGTACACAAGATCGTAAACTGTAAACTTGTATAAATGGTCTCACACCTGAAGGTCTGGATGTTGCACTGGAGAGGGGGGAAGGTCGTATGAAGGCAATATCCGAATGGTGATGGTGTCTTTTTCTGTTTTTGCTTGAAGAACTTTGAAAGTGCAACCTGAGGATTCCCAGGGGGAGTACTCTGACCACCTTTACCTCCGGTCATTCCCAACAGAGCCCTGAAACCATACTACAGTAAACTTGAGTCAAGTAGTCAGAGGCTTAGTAGCAAATCTTGAGGATAGAACTGGGTAACAAGCCAGTTTCCCTGCAGTTGTGGAGAGATGCTGTTAGATGCAGGGCCAACTGCTAGCTGCCATGCTGGAATGTTGTCTCACCCATTATGTCCAATCTTTGGGGTTTTCCAGATCTTTCACACTTTGTATTGAACCAGGCTTCCAGGTGGTACTAGCTCTGAACAGCAGGTTAGAAAGTCACAATGGATGGAACCAAACACCGCTCAATATGATCCTCTGTGAAGTTCAGTCAACATTAAGAAGAGATTTTTCATCATCTCACACTAAGGGCAGAGAGCCACTTGGAGATTTTTGGGCCCCATTTTGGCAGTGAGGTAGAAGCAGAGGAAGGACTTGTGAGAGTGATCACTTGATGAGTAGCCAGAATACTCAATTCTTCAAATGGTTCAGCTGGTGAATTCCCCATCTTTAAATACTTGACTCTCACCATGCCTACTTAGGCAAGTGACCCTGACCCTTTCTACTTGTATTTCAGATTAACAGTTGGGACGAACTGACGGGAGATGCAGAGAGGGAAAGAAACAGCGGTCTCCTGCAACTGTGAACTAATACTTACAGTCACAAAATTACATGCACAAAAAGGCAAGGACCTCTGGGACTAAAATTTCTTAGAAAAATCTTTAGAATCTTTAAGCTTAGAGTTCCAGGCGGTTTCTAAAGTGCAAAGTGGCAGCCTGTGTGGTGAAGGTGAGTGACTGTCAGATTCCATCGAAAGCAAACAGGAGTGATGGGGTTCTTTCAAAATGGCTTTTATTGAGACACATTCAGAGCTTCGGCACCATTTCCATCTGGGAACCCATTCCCATTGCGGTGGCTAAACCCTTTTTGGTGCTGGAGGTCTCACACCCATCCATCCACTTGGCAAGGCAGCACCAGAACTCAGCTATGATGTCCAGACAGGACAAGCCCAACCTCACTTCCATGCTCCCTGCAACCATCTCATTAGTGTTCCTTGCACATTTTAGGCTAAATTTCCACAAGTGGGAGGTGGCTTAAATACCAGCTGGTGTTTCTGATTGGGTGTCTGTAGCATGTAGTGATGAAGATAATACTCCCTGAACCATAGTTGTTGTATACATTCATAATGTATCCTGGCAAGACTGATTTCAGAAAGCTCGTGCTAGAATTGTACATTTCCTCTACTAAAAGGCTTTCTTGGAAAGAGGTTCAGGAGTCCTGGAAGGTAGCCTGAGTTCTCTAAGGCAATGTTGCTGAGAGATGGCTGACCTACCCCAGTATGGAGAAAAGTTCTACCCTAAATGCTAGGCCACTTCTGCCTCCTTACTGCATTCTGAATTTAGCCTGTTCTTGGAATTCCCTGCACAGTAAATCTACCAGCTCCTTCAGTGCCAGTGCCCCCAAATGTGTGCTCTCCGGTCTTTCTTTTCAGGGCAAAAATGGCCAAAGGACCCCAAAGGCAAAGCAGTTATCTGTTTGGTACAACTGTTGCCATAAGGCGGAAATGAATGGTATGCACGGAAGAAAGACCACCAGAGGCCAACATATTTATATCTGTCACCATCGACATCTACATAGACCCAAGTTTTTGCTCCTTATCAAAGGGGAACAGAAAACCTCAAGGATGTTTACTTTTGCAGCAAAAGGAAACATACACACGCATGAAAACAATTTGTAGCTGGTACCTGGAGAGAGAGCATGCTTTAGGCAAATGACAGATCGTGGTTTCCCACAAGTTTTCTTTGTAAGCGTGGCTTCCATCTCTGCTCAGGGTGCTGGGGCATCAAACAGCGTAAGATGTAATGGACACACAGGGCTGTCTTGTGTAATAAAAGCAAATATTTACATTAAGCACAATACAGCAATTTATTTAGATGCTTAAAATGAATACAAAGGGAAATAAAGACCACAAAATCATACATACTACAACAGTGTGTCATATATTAGATGGTATAAATGAATACACCCAGCGGTGCTCAACTAAAGAGGAAACTAAATATCCCAAATGTAGCACTCAACCGTGCTTGCAGCTCTGACACAACACTCTTACAGATCTAAAAGGTGTCAAAATTAGTAGCTCTAAAATCAATTCTTGCATGTTATTTTAGCTTAAAAGGTCTCAGAAAGAGATCTGAAATATCAGTTTTGACAACTGTAATGTCAAGGATACTCAGAACAAGAAAAAAAAAAATCCTATAATACAGGAGAGTCCAGATATATATCTTATGTGGCTGGCCTCTGTTGCAAGATTGTACAAGGTTATGTGCAAAAACTATGTCTGTCCAAAGGTCCATACTATCGCAGGGTCAAGCTTCTGCTAGGTAAACTAGATATAGCATTTATCACACAGCAAGGGCAACACTAAAAACCAATCTATGACGGGCACACAGTAACAGTGTCATAAGCATCACTTGAGGTCTAAAAGACTGTACAAATATACATTTCAACTATTCAGAATGAATACATGAAAAAAGGTCCATGTTCCTACTAGACACACTGGACTGGTAGCATGTATGCCCGCCCTGCACTACTATGTGATCAGGGTAAGGCTTTCCCAGGACATCCAACCAAACATCTTACCAAGGGAAAGAAATGCTGGAAAAGCAAACAATGAACTGCTTTTCCCTGTGAGCATTCATGAGCCGCCAGCTTATTGGTTTTTCACACTTCATTACTGAATCTACCAGAGAAGGGTCTGAAGCAAGATCAACCAATCACATGTCATAGACATAGAAATAACCACTGGGACTGTAGTGGTCACATGTCCCCAACAGCCTGACTGACCAGTCCTTGCAAGGCAGTGCCAGTTAAAAGACAAATCTGCAATCAGAACAGAGGTCCAAGATGCAACATGGCCCATGTGCTGGGGTGTGCCAGGCCCCTCAGGCTTGCTGGCTGCTCAGTTTTACTCCAGTTAAGCTGCCATGCATGGGATCAGCAACTCCGTCAGTCATGCTGTCAAACTGCTCCCCATCCTCACTGTCAATTGTGCTATTCTGCCACTCAATCTGTGGGTTTGGTAAGCGCTCTGCATTCTCAGATGCATTTTCCCACTGTGACTGGTCCTTGGACCAAAACCCTTCAACTTTTCCATAGGAACTATTCTTCCATTTTAACTGTTCTGTGTCATCTTGCACCGTAGCCTTTTTTTTGGCAGCTGGCTTACTGCTCCTTGCATCTTCACTCTGGGAAGACTCATCAGACCAGGTTCCTGGTTTCATCTCACATGTATTATCCTCAAAGTCAGAGATCTGTTGGGAACCAGGCCCACTCTCAGATGGTGAAGCACCATCTTTCCACTCAACTACATCATCTTGGTCTACCTCACTGTCAGAGGCATCATGCATTAGTTTGGTTGGCTCCTCAGTCAAATGGATAGTTTCATATTTTGAACCATCCTCCTCCTCTTTTTGGTCTAGCTTCTCAGATTCCAAAGCATCCTCAGGAATGACCTTCGGTACATGCTCCTCTGGATTATCACTAGGAATTTTAGGCTCAACTTCAAAGACAGGGTCAAAAGGGCTGTGGCTTCCATTGGATTCTTCTTCTAAATGCTCAAAACTATCTGAGAAGCTGTCGTCTTCCTTCCCAAGGCTAAGCTTTTTGTCAGCAGTCTTACTAGCATTGACTCTTGAGTCCTTCTCGTCATGATTTTCAAACAGCCACTCAGCATCAAAGTCCATCTCGTGTTTGACTTTATTTAATTCTTTCATGTTAAAGCCTAGCAACACACCGGGCTTGTACTTCTCACAGTCACGAACACACTTCTTTCTCTTGTTACTGAAATGGGAAGCAATGTCACTCTTCCACAGCCACAGACTGGCAGCTAACTTCTCAATTTCTCTCCTGGTGGGATAGGGCTGTTTGTTGAAGTATTTTGTGAGGAAGCTTTTCCTAGCTTCGTAAGAATCATCTTCATGACCCTTGGGGTCTAAAGCTAAAACAACAGGCTCTTCAGGCTTCTCTTCAAAGCAGCTGGGAGAATCACTGTCATCCTCCAGCTTTCGCTTTTTTAGCAGAGGAAACTCCACCTGTTCATAGGTGCGCTTCACAGGAGCCAGGCCTGGAGACTGATTGAGCCGAGAAGGTGCGTTTGTTTTGTCCTGGCCATTCTGGGTTTTTCCAACACCCCTGCAGTGGACTAGATGCAGGGTGATGGTTGAGGCTGTCATGTTGCTAGTATACACACCAAGGCAATGGATACATTTGTAGGTTAGCTTTTTCTCAACTGGATGAACTGTCTGAATAACTTGGTGTCTTTCTCGTAAATGATGTGCAAGTGCATCAGATATGGGTCCTTTTAGGATTGAAAAGCAAAGAGGGCAAAGGGTTTTCCCAACATCTTTTTTATAGGGCACTGCAGCTTGAGGTGAACTTTTAACAGGGACGTCTGCTTTTTCCTGAACTTTTGGCTGTGGCTTTGGAGGAACTGGGGCATTATTTTGGGCATGGTAAGCAACTGATTCGGCTGGGGCATCCCTCAGGTTGTATGTGGTCACCAGAAGATGGATGTTGGTGTGACTCCCCTGTTGCAATGTCAAATCAAAGCTCAAAGTAGAATCGGTTTTAGGTCCCATCTCTTCATCAATGTGAACCATTCGCATGTGTGCTGCCATCTTTTCTACATCATTGAAGGTTGAGCGGCAATATGGACAAGACAGACCATGAATTAACATATGGTTGAGCAGGGTATCTGTGGGCAAATAGCGATTACAGTAGAGGCATTTGCTAGTAAAATTGTGTATTTTCATAATGTAGTTAGCTACTGCTGGGACTTTCTCAGCTTTATGCTCCTTTTCAAAGTGAACACTATATACATTCTCAGGGAAAAGCTCGTTACAGATTGTACATATTTTCCACTTCTGAGTAGCACAATGGTTGCTTGGAGGAGGGCCTGTGGCTGCTGGTGGAGGTTTAGAACCGGATTGACCTAATACTCTAGAAGCCTGTGACTGAGACACAGAGGGAGACTTCACCTGGCCTGGGGGTAGAGATGTGGTACTGGCAGTCTGCAAGGAATACCTGGCCGCTGCTGGGGGCCTCTGCTCAGCACCAAGCCCATACGACCTCCCATTTCCACTTGGAAGTAGCTGTTTGACAGACTGAGACTGCTGAGGGATGGAAACTGGAGCATTGCCACCTAGACCCAGTCTCACTGACTGGCCAACACCATAGCTCTGGCCTACAGATTTGACTCCATAGTTGTTTTGCTGCAAGTGAACATTGGACATCATATTGACTCCTGCTGAGTTTAAGTTAGGCTTTGGTATTGACAATCGATTCACCATCTGCTGTGATGGCAAAGACCGGACATTTCCAGAAGCAAGGGAACTGATTCTTGGTGGCAGTCCCATGCCCTTTTTCTCTTGAGGTTTGGGAGCAATCAGCATCAAGGGTTTGGCCCGGGGAACTACAACATTTGTGTGCCCAATCATGGCAGTGACCTGATAGCCTATCCGTTCATGGTCCTCAATGACATGCTGTACCAAAGCTTCATAGGACTTGGGCATGAAAAGGCATCGCTTGCAGTGGATGTTACACTCTTCTCGGGCATTTGCACCCAGGGGGACAGCACCATTGAGTGATTTTTCTCCTGCCTTTGCTATGTACGGTGCTGCTACATGCTGAAAATGTTCCCTGTAGATGTGCTTCCTGACAATCTCATATAGAGGGTCTCGGTAAGTGCACTTCTTGCAGTAATACACGGCTTGCTCTACACTGTCAGCCTGCTTGGGTTTAAGGCCATCGTTTTTGTTTTTATCTTTGAAAGTGCTGAGGCTGCTACTCGGTGCGCTGGAGTTTGGAGCATGAAATATTTTAATGTGTGTTTCCAAAGTCTTTTTATCTGCATTGAAGGTACAGTAAGGGCAATTAAGGAGAATCCTATTTTCAAAGTCTTCACTATGAACATTCCGGAAATGACTTTTGTAGGCAGAGAAGAATTTTGAGGAAAACGGACAAGCACTGCAGCAAAAAGGTTTTGTCCGATAGTCCTAAAAAATAAACAAAACAAAACAAAATAGAAACCAGAATGAGAAGGCCACTTGAGGCAGGTATTTGTAAGTTTTAGGCACCTCCCCCTAGGCATTCCCAGAAATTCTTCAAGGCAATGAATTTTAGAGGTTTCTCCTGCCAGAAAACTAGAAAGAGAAACTCAAGAACTCAGGTGCATTTTGAACCAAATACCTTTATTTGTGTCCCTGTGTAAATTAAAACTCAGTGCTAAGTTCTTGTCAATCCTCTAAAAATGGCTAGTCATATTTGCTGGCTGATTTCGGAGAGGTGTCAAAGGCATCAAAAAACAAAACAAAACAAAAAAAAACAGGTTTCAAGAAAAAATATTTTATAGCTAAAAACAACCAGTATAAAAACCATGTAAACCCCTCATTTTGTGGTCCAGTAATTTGCTCAGGCTTCAGACATGGGAACTCATAGGTCCATATACCTGTATAAGGAACACAGGTATACTTTTCTCTTTCCCACCATCCAACAATTCTCATTAAAAAACAAAACAAAACAAAAAAAAAACAACAAAAAATCCCTACAGTTTCTTCTCCAATCTAAAGCACAGTGAATTTAGACTTCGGTGTGGATCAAAAGGCTCCAGACTGGAAACACTGGCCTCTTTCTACTTCTTCTCTGGCAGAGCAGCTTCAAAAACGCCAATAAGGGCTGAAGAGACAGTTCAGTGGTTAAGAGCACTGGTTGCTTTCACAGGGGATCTGGGCTTGATTCCCAGCAACTACAAGGTAGTTCATGCAGTTTCATGGTGTTCTCTTCTGACCCTTGAGGGCAGCAAGCATGTACACAGCACACAAATACACATTAAAACAGACACACATCAAAAGTTCTTTTTTCCCTTCAAAAATGCCAATGAAAAAAATCAGATTATGGTGGTGTATGCTTTTCATACCAGCACTGGGAAGGCAGAGAGGCAAGTAGATCTTTGAGTTTGAGGCCAGCCTGGTCAGGACAGTGCCAGGACAGCCAGGGATACAAAGAGAAAACTCTTTATCAAAAAACACCAACCAACCAACAAATAAATGGCCAATGAATTAATTAGCAGCTGCTTTAATTCAGCTAAGAAATTATCTGGAGACCGTCTTATAGACAGACGGCAGAGTGTTCAGAAGCCATGGTGTACTACAGAGCACACTGACATCAGGGATCAGTTTTCAGAATTAAGACATCAAATAGGTAAATATATACATGATAAGCAGTCATCTTTTCTTGTGTGTGTTTCATGAACTGTTTTGAACCAAAAGGAGTTTCTCTGCTCTCTTTCAAAGCTCCTCAGCTGATGTAGTGGTGTATGTTTTTAATCCCAGTTCTAAAGACAGAGACAGGTGGATTTCTGAGTCCAGTATGGCCCAGGTTAGAGAGACCCTGCCCTCAAAACCAAACATCATCTAGGAAGGCCTTCTCTTAAGAATGCTGCTCAGCGCCGGGCGGTGGTGGCGCATGCCTTTAATCCCAGCACTCGGGAGGCAGAGGCAGGCGGATCTCTGTGAGTTCGAGACTAGCCTGGTCTACAGAGCTAGTTCCAGGACAGGCTCCAAAACCACAGAGAAACCCTGTCTCGAAAAACAAAAAAACAAAACAAAACAAAACAAAACAAGAATGCTGCTCAGCAGCTCTCCGTAGGGCATTGAGTACAGAATTAGAAAGGGAATTCACATCCACTTTTCTCCATGGACAGAAGTACCATTTACAATACTATTATCATATTTTCTTTTTTTTTTTTTTGAAACAGGGTTTCTCTGTATAACAGTTCTGTCTGTCCTGGAGCTCACTCTATATACCAAGCCAAGCTCACAGAAAACTGCCTGCCTTCTGCCTCCTGAGTGCTGGGATTAAAATTGTGTGCCATCTCCGCCTGGACTATTATCACATCTTAATTATGGACACACTGGCATCAGTAACTATCCTGAATGTAAAGGTACAAAAAAATATCCTGTCACTGCCATTCTAGGGGATTACCTACTACACCATTTTCTAAAGATTAGGTGTCATCAGAGGGATAAAGAAGTGTAAATAGAAGGCTGAGTGTAACCCAGCGGCGTTGCCAAATGCCTCTAATCCTAGTACTCAGGAGGCAGAGGCAGGCGGCTATCTAAATCAGAGGCCAGCCTAGTCTACAGAGTGAGTTCCAGGGCAGTTAGGGCTACAAAGAAAAGTTGTCTCAAACAACAATGAAACAAACAAAAACACTGATCTTGACTTTTCTCTAGGAAGCAAGGGCAGCAACAGAGACAGGATAGCAGGTGGGTGGCTGCACAAACAATGCTAAGAGTGTTCCTTAGAAACAGAAGCAGGAAGGCGCCATGGAGGGAAACTCATACACCACAGGTTCCCCAACTTTGCTATTTCAGTTTTTTTGAGACACGATTTTATTTGCCCAGGATGGTTTCAAATTTGTTACACAGAATGCCCCTGACCTTTTGATCCTGACTTCGCCCCTCAAGCACTGGAATTAGAATTAGAGGTATGTGCCGCCGTATCTGGTTTATGTGGAACTGGAGAGCAAAACCAAGGTTTTGTACAGGACAGGGAATGCTTCAACTACTGAGCTCCAGTCTTGGTTTCAACTTTAGAAATTTAAGAAACAAAAGTTCTGTTCATTCTTTTAGCTTGAAGTTTCTGTCCAGCAACAAGTATGAGGCCCTCAGGGGCCCTCATACTCAGGAAAATGGGATGCCCGCGCTACTATTCATTTTCCAGGGTAGGCCACTGCCCGGTCAGAGCTGTCACTATGAAAGGCTCAAGTGGGAAATGGACAGTCCTAGGAGACTTACCTGATTTTTTGTAAGTGAAGGGTCCCACAGTCCTACATCCTCCCATGTAGTGTTTTTCAAATAAAAGTCATTAGGTTCAAACTGTTTAAAATCCTAGAAAAACAGTGAGAGAAATTAAAAAAAAACCATAGTGGTATCAAGCCCAACCTGACTTGACACCTAAATTCTACCTCTTTAACCAGGCACAGGAAGGTCAACCACTGAGAACTAATGCAGAGGGGCCGAGGCTCAGCAAATGTGAAAGGCACCTGGCCAGGATTCCAGAGGAACTGCCCAAGTGCAGATGGGAAGGCTCTAGCCCTACAGCAGCTCCATTAACCACATAACTCACCAGCCACAACACTGGGTGGAGGAGGGGCGTGTGCTAATAGCTCTGGAGAAGAGTCTAGCTTGGCAACACAAACAAACAAGCAAATCAATAAATAAATAAATGGAAGGAAGGGTAGATCTAGAAGAAAATTCAGATTTTTAAACCAAGAAAGTAAGCAACAAGCCGTTCAACTTACACTCTAATGTGAAATCCCCCCATGACTAAGAAGAAAGCAGCGTGAATGGTTCACAGCTGTTGGTAGAAAGTTAAACACGTGCAAACTTCAGAGTACCTATTAGCTCTAGCGGGAGGAGCAAACCCGGTACAGGATAGGAAAGATACTTGACTATTTGCATGTTTATTTGGAAAGGTTTCACCCACCCCCAAGTACAGATCCATTTGTCTCTGAAGAGTTACTTCCACCCTGGAACAAATCACTAGAAGCCCATTTTTGAAAAGCTTTGGTTTCCAGGATACACCCCTGACTACTCTGAGTGGGATTCAGGAGAAGAGACCTTGTTCATGAATGAAATGTCTATTAATTCTACCCGACCCGTGTCCTTAGCAGTTGTTCCATGCCAAGCATTGTGCTGGGCAGTGGGATAAATGGCTAAGCAAGGCCACTTTAGTCTGGCCAGTAGAAACCTAAACTGTGGGGGAAATCTCTTTAAACGCTTCAGTTGGAGGTTGGGTCCAACTACCTGTAAGATCTGTAGCAAGGTGATCTGGACAAGGAGGAGACGACTCTGTCTATCCCATGGGGCTTGAAAAAAGCTCAGAATAAAAAGGCTAGGGAACAGTCTGGAAAGGCCAAACTGCTACACAAGGGCAAGATAAGTCTTTGATGGGCCAGAAGGCTGACAAACGCCAAATCCTAAGGAAAGAGATGACAAACACCTAGACAACCGTGCCTCAACAGTCAGGTCAATGGAAACAACCCAGGCTTATGAGAAGGAAAACAGGCTCTGCAGTCCCCAATGCCTCTTCCCTAACTGTGAGCCTGAAATCACTGCTTCCAATCCCCATTTCATAGACTGGAGATAAGAATTCCTAGAGTCCCCTGAGGTTATTTCAAGGACCAAGTGCATATATAGTTTTAAAGCACCTCTTGCACTGTGTATATTTTCCACGCTGTAACTGTTTTGCCTCAGGATGCAAAGATGAACACACTTTCAGGAAAGGGAGTAAGTTCTACTAAATAAGAAGGTTTTGGTGAAGCTGAAAGTGCAGTTAAATTCACCCTCACACCTAACAGTGAACATCTTGCCCATGGACACAGTAACGGATCAGAAGCTGAGTCACATTAAAATTTAAAAATGGCATGCTACTTACTTCTATATGTTCTTTACAGTATTCCAACCCAATGTCACTAAGTATTTTTTTCACAGTTTTCCGGGCTTTTCTTAAACTGCCAAGATTGTTGACAGGAAGTTGGAACATAGTTTCTATTGGAAAAAAAAATTTAAGTCAAAGTCAAAACATGAACAACTTGTCAAAGTTACTAATTCCACTGATGACAGGATCCCAAACCCTGGCTCCTTCAGGTGAGAAGATGTACTCATCTAGTTTATGGAGCACTTAAAGCAGGCAGGCAGGCAAAGTGAGTGCTTGTCAGCCTTTCCTATCTTGTTAGAGGACATTTTTACCACGAGTCTAGGCGCACAAGTCTGATTAGGCTTTAACAACCCTTTAAGAGATGAATTTGAAGTTGGAGAATGAAACAGCATCAGTTAGCTATCTCAAGCCAAATCAACATCCTTGTGATGTTGAACCTACAAACCTATAAAGCCACTCAGAACACCACAGCGTCACAGTACCGCACAGCGCTGAAGGGAAGATTTTGCTTTCTGAAACGTCAAGGTAACAACACTCTCACAAAAGCAACATGACATTCAATGACTCTTTCTATCTCCTCAAATTGAAGTTCCAAATGATGCTGTGATCTGCTCCTTAGGTGTTAACACACCTGGGCAAAGGGCTCACATGGGCCATGGCCGAGATATTAGATGGGGGAAGCCATGCTGTGGCTTCAGAGCACATGGTGACTGCTGTAGGCTTTCTGGGATCTCTTAAAAAACAAAATGCTTGTTGAGTGAGTGTCTGTATGTGAAGTATGTAAGGAAATCAAAAAGTTGCTCGACTGTTCTAAACACAAAAGCAGAAAGAAATGGAGATCCATTTTCTAAGTTTCTTAAAAACAAAAAGTACTTGTGTTTTAGAAAACTGAATTAGTACAATTTGAGGTGAGATTTTTATAAGTCTCTGAGAATATGATCTTAACTGTTTAAATAGTCTAAATTCAACATAATTTTGCAGAATAAAGTAGCTTTAAGACCAAAGTCAGCAAAAAATCCACACCAAAGCACCAGCGGTTGGGATTAGACAAATCTCAGTTTTCTAACTATAACCATCACTTTTACCGGCCGCAAGCCTGAACCCGGGGATGTTCACGTAAACAAGTCCCAGACACTCTAGTATAAATTACCAAAGCTTGCTGGGTCTCCCAACATTAAAACAAGTCACTGAAAAGCAGCATCCCCAGCCTCATCATTCTCCAGATGAACTCCTGTAAGTTGAAGACCAGGACTAGAGTGAGCAGTCCTTCCCCAGAAGGGCACCAATTACCATTTATTTCTCCTTCACACTCCCTGAGCCTTATACCAACCCAAGGAACAAGGTTTCAAAGAAAATACTAGTCCATGTGACATGAAACTAGTCATGTGACTAGACACATGACATGAAAAAGGACTCAAAGGTCCCCTATGTTTTTTCCTCAGGCCACTATCTTTAAGTACTTAAGGGTCAGGCTGGGCTAGGTGATAACACATTGGCAACCCCAATTCCAGCACTCAGATGGATAAGGCATAAGTACCATGAACTAGAAACCACCTATAAGTCGGGCATAGTTACACCTTGACCAAAAATAAAATAAAACAAAATAACAACAAAAAAAGGAATAAATTCAAATCAGTAGTTGGCTCCAGAATGTATTCATGCTACCCATCTAACTTTTTGTTTAAAATGTGTAAGAAGGACAGCCCAAGCCTCAACACCTTTTTGAACTAGAAACCTCAACAAGGAGACTGCATTTTGAAAACAGAGAAAAAACAAAATCCCTACAGTACATACAGAGGGGCAGAGTGGTGATATACTCTCTCCCAATCCATCAATGGCCCCCAAACCCTGCTCAGCCTTTCGGTATGTTATGCTGGCAGGGTCTAACAGGTCCTTACCAAGGAGACCCTCCTTTCAGCACAAGGCACTAAAAGGGCAAATTGTCCAACCTAATAGAACTGTACTCTTGTCCATCTATCACTTCCAGGACACCTCAACTTTGCAGGTCATGCTGCTGGGAGCACACAGTAGACCCTCAGGCAGCAGGTTTTACACAACGCTTTGTTGTTCAGCCTCAGTTGGAACAACTCCTGCCACAAATAATGTCTTGTCAGTCAGGACTCAGGTGAGCAACATCTCTTCAGTACACAAAGCTGTTAATGTGCTCAAAAGCTGGGTGTGCTGGAAAGCAGAGAGGGAAATGCCCGAGGCAGCAGTCTCCTCACTGTGCCCACATCTCTTTCTAGACATATGAGCAAATGTGCTTAAGCTTTGTTGCCACCCAAGTCTTTGCAGAATCAACAGGCAGTGGAACACAGAAAAGAAGTGAATTAATCAAAGGAAAAATGGGATTGAGGGAACTTTGTTAAAACATCTAGTAATGTCCCGACAACCCAAATTAAAACACTATATATAGATTCAATTGCTAAACTCTATAATAATTTTGGGGGCAGACCAGTTAGTTTAGTTGGTTAGAACATGGTGCTAATAAAGTAATGCGAGTGTCTTAGTCACAGCCATGCACTCACCGGAAGAGATGCACTGAATAGGCTGACCTCCAGCTCATAGGCCCTGCTTGCCTCTGGGGTGCTGGACTAAAGGCATGTGCCACCTCTCTCAGCTCACATCAATTTCTGAGAATGATTTAAGTTAATTTTGAATGAATGAGTCACACCCCTTTCTCAATCTCACCTACACCTGAAGAGGAGGGCAGGAACACCACAGTTTAACCCTACTTTTTTTGTTTTATTAGAAAGCAAGAGTCTAATGGCTGCAATGAAAATCTGAGATTCATTTTGGCCCTAAGGCTATATATGCTATATATAATTAAAACCATGTAAATAATATAGTATGCCTGATCTTCTCCAATTATCAAAAGCTATTACTTCAAACGCCAAGAGGGTATAAAGAAAAGACAGCCCAGCTGTAGACCAATCCTGTACAGGGACAAAGACCATAATCCAGTATCGGTACTGGGCAATAGCAGGACCTATGAACTGAGAGACTAATTACAGCTTCTACCTGGAGAAGGACCCAACAACAGTGACAGTTTAGTTCAAGGAAAGGTCTGCAGACCCAAGTGGAATGAGAAGCACTAGTACGGATTGTCTAAATCAGGGTCCCTACAGAGCCACCAAGTCAGGATGGCACCAATGACCCTTATTTTTAGAACTACAGAAGATCAAACAACATAAACAAAATGACAGAATACAGACGGGCTGGCAACTCTAGAGTAAAGCAGCTATACAGTGTCCAGAAAGCCAAGGATTTAATTCCCTGCATAACAAACAACCCACAAACAACTCCATCAAGTAAAACAGAAAGAAGGAACCTTTACAACCAGGTGGAAACATTTTGACCCTCAATCAACCAGTTCAGCTTACACCGAAGCTACTGGGTGGATGTAAAAGTGTGCCCTTAAAGCCATCTTGTTTCAATATGTAGTTAAAAAAAAAAAAGTACTTCTGTATATGGGTGGTTTTGTCTGCATGTACATTTACATACCAAAAGAGGGAACTGAATCCCAAGGGACTACCATGTGGGTGCTGGGAATTGAACTCAGGACCTCTGGAAACAGGGCTTTTAAACGCTGAGCCATCCCTCCAACCCCCTCAATACGCACTCTTACTTGATGTTTCTAGACCTCTGAGTATCCAGGCTAACTGAACACACTCCAATTGCAACAGTAAATATAACAGTCAGCCAACTAACCATTCCCCACTGTAGTCTCTCTCTCACTCACGTTCCTATCTTAACCATAGGGACCTAACACTTCTTTATATAATAATTTAGTCCACAATTGGTGGTGAGGCATATTCATAATCCCAGCACTTGGAGCAAGCATTCAAGGCTAGCTTAAGCTAAATATATCAAGCTAGAGGCTATGAGAGAGGCAATCTCAAAACAAAAACAACAATAACAAAAAACATGGTCACATGGGTGAGATGGCTCACTTGCTGTGCAAGCCTGTGGACCCAAGTTTGATCCCTAGAACCAATGAAAGAACCCACTCCTGAGATCTGTACTCTAATTTTCACAGATATACTCCACTTACACTAAAGAAAATACTAAAACTATTCTAGGATCTGCATCTGAAGCAATGAACACATACCTTATTTTTTTCTTTAAAAAAAGATTTTTATTTTATGTGTTTTGTATGTATGCATGTCTGTTTGAGGATGTTGGATTCCCTGGAGGCAGAGTTACAGGTAGTCTGTAAGCTGCCACCTGGGTTCTGGGAACAGAACTCATGTCCTCTGGAAGAACAGCCAGTGCTCTTAATTGCTGAGCCATCATTCCAGTCCCCATACTTTACTTCCTACTATTCTTACGTTTGAATTAAAATACCAGTAAGGCTTATATATTTGCACTTACCTTGTATAGGGTCTTTCTTCATAGCCCTGGCTGTCCTTGAACTCAAGAGACCCACCTGCCTCTGCCTCCCCAGTGCTAGGTTAAAAGGCATGTGCCATTATACTGTATTTGTATCTTTTTTTTTCTTTGTAAATAAACCCTACAAAGCCTTGCTAGAGTATTTCACATCTAGCAAGCCACCCTATCAAAAGGCTCCTTTCAGTCTGGAAGCGATCACCTACCACTGGGAAGCAGTTCACCCTTTCCTGTCAGCTTGGGGAGAGCCTTTCAGGCGCTCCCACAGAAGCTGCTCTAACATCTTTCCCTCTTATCCCCCTCTCTACTGCAACCACCAGTGACTGATTCTGGCCACCCAGGGGCAGAATGTTCTTGATTAGATAAAACTGCAACAAGACAGATTAAATAGAATCCAGGAGCTAGAGAGACAGCTCAAAGGTTGCTTTCAAAGAGAACCTAGGTGGGGTTCCCAACACCCACACAGCAGTTCACAACTGTCTGTAACCCCAGTTCTAGGGGATCCGATGCCCTTTTAGGGTTTCTGAGGCCACCAGGTACAATATAGTGCAGACATGCAAGCAAAATGTCCACAAACACAAATTAAAAAATGTTAAGAAAAATTTAGGTCTAGGGCTAGCCAGTTGGTTCGGTCAGTTAAAAAAAAAATACTTGCATGGCGATTTGAGTTCAATCCTTGGGACCCACATGATGGAAAAAGACAGAACTCACTCCTATAGTC